CTTAGTTCTTACTATTGTCATTTTTCTACCCACTTCATTTTACTTTAATTTTTTTTTTTACCTATATCATTTATGTTTTCTCATACCTTGTTATCTGTTTCTTTTCTTAGCTCTGATGAAGGCCTGAACTTCAGGTCGAAATCTCAGCAAATATAATATACAACAAAAGTAATACAAATATAATTATTTATTTTTGTCTTCTTATTTCTGACTGACCACCCCAACTATTCTTCTCTTCATAAATTATTTTATAATCACCAACCTGGACCATCTGTTTCCTCAATCTTATAATACGGTCAATCATTGAGTATTCAATATGAAATTTAAATATTTGGAAAATTTAAGGACTGGAATAGATGTCTGAATAGGTAGACTTTTCAAAATATATTTTTTTGAATACTCTAAAGTGACAATTAAACTACAGAGTTTTAAACAAATCAAATTATGGAAATGAATGAAAATGTATATATAATAAATATTCTTTTTTCTAGAAGTGACCAATAATTGAAGTAAGATTTTGGTTATAAATTTAATTAAATTTAAAAAAAGATAATTCTTCCTTAACTACTGTAAATGGCAACACAGGCATCGAATACCAGACATGCCTCCCCTAATGTTTGAAATGGCTACATTTGTCCCCATCAACTTAAAATATTGTTAATTTCTATAAACAAATGCATACAAATTTTGTTTAGGGCCGATCCTAGATCAAGAAAAAACAAAATATATTCTATTAAAAGCCAAAAATAACCAAAGAAACAGAGGGAATACAGCTATAACTGTGGAGTATGGGGTTTGTCCTTCAAGGACATAATAAACAATATCTACTGTATATTTATTTCTAATTTGAAAAAAATATTTATTTACTAAAAAATTCCCTCACTTTTCCCTGTTTTGAAAATTCTCTGACTTTTCCCGTTTTTCCAGGTCAGTCACCACCCCGAGAGAGAAACATTTTATTTTTATATAAAATATAAAAGCTTGCTGCTCAATTATATTGGGTTACTAGATACACAGCATACTGGTTAATCCGTAGGACAATAAATAAAACTTATATATAAATATACAGAAATGGTTAGTATATATGAGTATAATAAATATAGATAATACTCTGACGGAGCCAGTTGTCACCTCCGAGTAGGAAAACTGGTGCCTGCCATTAACAAACTGTCAAGAACGGAGAGTTTTTGAAAGATAAATTATAAGAAGGATATACGGGATAGTAAAGATTGATGGAAAGTGGAAGATCAAGAGCAACACAGAGATTGCAGCCACACTGAAAAACCATGATTTAGTTAATTATATAAAAGCAGGTAGACTGCGATGGGCAGTTCATGTTGCCAGAATGAAGGAAGAGAAGCTTCAGAAGATGCTGGACATGGAAATCGTTGAAAAAAGAGAAAAAGAGGCCGACCGAGGAGATGCTGGAAGAAGGAGGCTACAAGAGATGCTGGAAAGCTGGATGTCGTAAATTGGAGGAGCACTGTCAAGGACCATGGCAGATGGAGGCATATGGTCTGGAAGGCCAAGGGTCATAAAGACATGTAGAGCCAAGGAGTAAGTAAGTAAGCATAGGAATGAATAACTTCATTTTTATTATTGTAAGCGCATATGAGTACATAGTACTATCGATAGCTCAATTGATAGTTTTAGTGACTATCGAGAGTTCATATTCTGCTCTTAGGCTCAAATTAATTTGAAATTTTATATGCTTGGAGGAATAATTTCAATAACCTCTATACCCAATTACTGAAGTAAGAGCTATGGTGATAATATAACTATGTAAAAGTGAAATGTTTGATAATGTAAAACTAGGATAGAACTATAAAGGCGCATTATTAAAACTATTCCTATCAATATATAAAATTGAAGAATAAGCCTTTCAAGGTAAAAAATAATACAATCTCAAATTATTTCTCTAGAAATATTTTCACACCTGCAATTGTACCGATGGGAAAAAAATATTACCTCTTTTTTTTTAATTATATTTTTCATATACAAATATATATACATATATTCTTTAATGATGCCAGCACAATTTTATTATATCTTAAACCAGAGGTCTTCACACTTTTTGGGCCATGGGCCACGTAAAGACTTCCACTAAGTCCTGCCGGATGCGGCCCATAGTTGAGCCATAGTTTGGAGACCCCTGTTTTCAAATTATATTATCAAATTACATTTAGAAAATTAAAATTTTGGAAATTAAAAGACGAACAAATTTCTCTACTTTTTGTACAAAATATGTAGTTCAAACAATCCTGTATATCATCATAAGTATTTCTTGTTTAAATTTGACTCATAGAAATGAAAATTATTTATTTTTCTGTATAAATTTTTTTTTTTTTTAAATTGCTTATTCAATAATTTTTATTAGAACCTAAATCAACAATACAAATTTAAGAATCCAATAAAAATGTTAATCATTCTTATTAAGCTTATGCAGTAGTTTAAAGCAAGTAACTAAAGAATACACTGAAAATAAATCCTCCTTAAGTCTGTAGCAGAGAAACAGGAGTGGGGTAGCTGAGTGGTAGGGTGCTGCTTAAGGTCCCAGGTTCGAATCCCGGCTCATGGGAAAAAAATTATTTATTCTGTCTCAATAGCCGTGGGGAGACCCTGGGTAGGTAGACCCTCCTGGGGCACATCCAGCCTCTATAAAGTGGGTTCCCTTAATTAAAAATAATTAATTAAGGGGAAAAACGTGGCGGTTGAGCGTGATCTTAGTGAAATCACCTCCTTGCACAACCGTAGACCAAGAAACAGTGCTTTCCCTAAATAGTATTGAATCCAAGACCCTTCATGGGTTGTAATGGTACATGTTTTTTTTTTCTTTTTTTGTAGTAGCAAATTACGGAACAATTGATACTATCGATAGTATCGAATTATCAATAGTAGAAAACTATAGCCAATCTCTATTGCTTTGTCTATTACTAATTCCTGTTAAACCATGTTAACATATTACTCAAAGCATAGTGAGCTTAATGGTGAGTTTAAAAGTAGTTGTGCTTGGCATGTGCATGTTTCCCTTTGTTTGTGGCCCAATCTGTCGACACAATGGGAAGAGCAAATAGAGCTTACGGAAAGCACTAATGTTGCTCAATATTTAATCAGATATTTGCATTCCTGCTCGGTTTTTTAAATTTTTATTTATTTCCAAAATAAAAATAAAAATATTTCTCTGTAATATAAGAATAAAGTTAACACCTCTCTCACTATGATTGAAGTAGCAGTGGTGACTAAGAGAGTTCTGCAACCAATCTCTAAATTTTAAAACTAAATTGGAGTACATAAGTCATACACAATATATATATATATAATAAGAAGAAAATAAGGCTTCTTCACCATGGGGAGGGAGAGAGTGGCCAAACGGGCTAACAAGTATTGCCCTGCAACCAACTACGTGATAAACTAAAGTTAACAAGGTATAAAATTATTATAAATTTGCGTCTAAATGCCGGAAGGAGCTATTAACACTGGCATTAATCCCCTGCCCTCTCCCCTGGCCCAGAAAAATCTTCGCATAGGCTATAAGGCGAAGAAGGGGTGGGAACAAAAAAAAAAAAGAAAAGAAAGGCTTCTTTGTCCCTTGCATTGGTTATAATTCTTTCGCGGTATGAAGAAATTTGGAAAACTCTCCGTATAGTTTCTGACAATAATAGTAGCTATTCCAATAAGACTAGTATTATCCATTATAAGAAGGAAGAGAATCACTCATATAGGATAGGAAGGGCCTGTGCTAGAAGTTGAATATTCTGATACGTTAAACAAACGTTTGATTGAAATGGTGCAAACAATACTAATACACTTCTATAAAAGATGAAGAAAAACTTAAATAAATCTTTGAAAAATAAAATAATGCAATCAATTTCCTAGATATGAATGCAATTCAACTTTCACAAAAAAAAAAAGTACTAAAAAAAACCCACATGTGTGTGTTATAGTTTCTGATATTTACAAGACCTTAATAATAAATAATATTGCCCGCTATAGAGAAGTATTCACTACAAGAATTTTTGTTGTATATTAAAGTATACTTCTCCCCACCAATAATGGAAAAGAACTTAAAAATGACTAAAGATAAGAAAGCTCAGTAAAAAATAAATAACTACAAAAAAAAAAATCTGTTATGTCCGCTCACACGATTTTCCTACCTATTTCAGCAAAGTATTTATGTCTCCAAATGTGTACATTAAGAATCAAAAACAAATTAAATTAGATTAGTGATTATTAGATTCAGTAACAGAATCTGAATAGTGAGACTTGTGTGATGCGGGCACCAGATTTCTTTACTTTTCTTTTTTCTCTCTCTTTTACCCCTTTCTGGCACCACACTGAACTCATAATCTTACATGCGAAATTGAATAGCTGTAACTTCGTTAATAGTTATCCAAAATGAACACGATTTCAATATGGTTTTGTAGGGAATTTCATCACTTTTCAACAAAAACAGGCTAAAAAGCTTTTCAGGGGACTCTGAAACGTATATATCCATCGAAAACCAGATCGGTGCTCTAGTTCTCGAGATAATATTAGCACAGATAGACAGACCAATGGCTGAAAATGTGTTTTTCGGACTCAGGAGCTCTGAAACGTATAGATCCGTCGAAAACTGCACATCCGAAATTTGACCTGATCGCAATACTTTCCTTACCTAGTATAGGTAGGAAAGTAAAAAAACATCACAAATGTACTTCAATTATTTACTATTTTTTAAATTTATTTTAAAGATGCTTAAAAGGTTAAGCACTCAAATAGGTGAAGCATAAGAATAATGACCTCAAAAAAATGTTGAATGGACACCAAAGAGAAAAAATGTTAAATGGCCACCAAAGGTGGCTTCAAAATTTAGGTGACTTCAATGCTTGAAGCTTGAAATTCAAATGTTTTGACAAATTTTCAGGCAACTTATATCAGAAAGGAAGGTGGAGAATTTTTAGTAAATTTTGCCTTCGGTTAAGAGGAAGTTTAAGATTATTATAATTTAGAATTTTCCTCACCACAATCAACTTCCAGTCCTTCCTCTTTACTGCTACTTGTCGTGGGATCTGTAACAAAAACTAAAAATTACTTTCATTGAAACATTAGGCAATTTTGATTTATTATTTTCAGTAATCAATCTTTGTAATTGACCAAGAATAAAAAAGTTACCTCCCTCTCTCAAAACTAGAGGAATTTACAATCAAGATATTTAAAATCCAAAAATCAAACAAAAAATTCCGTCCGTCAGTGGCTTTTCTCCGAGACTACTGGACCCGATTGTTTTGAGCTGTAATATCAACTTTTCCTTCAAGCCCTTTAAATTTATATTTATAACATACTTCGCCCAAAAGTACATTCCTATCAAGATGGTAGCCGAAAAACCTTGACGGTATAGATTGTAGCGCCTAAATAAATGTACAGATTTAAATGAAACTTGTTTAAAGTCTTCTCCATTGAAGACCTTTAAATTTATCTATATAACATATTTCACTGAAACGAAGTTGAAAAATAAATTACTAGGATTGGTAAAATTAGATTTCTGAACAACTCAAAAAGTATACGTTTTTTCCATGAAATTTACTTTTTTTTTTTTTTTTTATTTGGGTTTTGCACAACTTAAGGAGTCATATCCCCAATACCCAAAAGCCACTGCTCCCTGTCCATCCAATCTCCCTCACGAAGCCCTCTGGCTGCCATGCTTTCTTCCACGTCCTCTGTCCATTTCTTCTTTGGCCTTCCACGCTTCCTTCTTTCAGGTGGCATATAGTTAGAGATTTTCTTTGGCCAGCGGTTCTCATCCATCCGCATTAAGTGGCCATACCACTTTAACCGTTTGGTCCCGATCAGGTGAAGGATGTTCTTTTGACATCCGACCTTGTCTCTAATAGCTGCGTTTGGGATCCGCTCGATTCTGGATATGCCACAGCTTCTTCTCCAGAAATTCATTTCCATGGAAAGCAGCTTATTTTCCATCTTTTTTGTCAGTGTCCAGACTTCTGATCCGTAAGTGGCTACGCTTTCCACAAAGGAATGGTATATCTTTTTTTTAGTTTCTAATCGTATCTCTTTACTCCATAGGGTTGAATTTATCGAACTTATTATACTTTTCCCATTATTTATTTTATGTTCGATATCAACCTCACTACTACCGATATGACTTGATCATCGGCATACTGCAAATTGTAGATGACATCATTCCCGATTTGAACACCCATTCCACAGCACGATCTTTTCCAGTTTTTAAGGGCTTGTTCTATGTAAATGTTGAAAATCAGGGGTGAAAGGCAGCAGCCCTGCTTCAATCCTTTGTTAATGAAGAAGCTTCTAGACACTCTATCTCCTATTTTTATAGCCCCCTTTATATTTTTATAGAGCTCTTGAATTGCTCTGATGAGGTATCTCTTAATAGATGTGGCTTCCAAAGCTTTCCACAATTTCGCTAGAGGTACTGAATCATAGGCCTTGTGTAAATCTACAAATATCATATGGAGTTCACGGTCGTGGGCCATCCTCTTTTCTATAAGTTGTGAGAGACTAAAAATGTGATCAGTGCATGATCTTCCAGCTCGAAAATCCGCCTGTTTCTCGCTGATCTCTTCCTTTAAATCATTTTCAATTCTGCTTTTAATTATCCGGCCGTATAATCTACTCAGCGAGCTGGTAACAATAATACCTCTGTAGTTGGAAACGTCTTTCTTTTGGCCTTTTTTGAAAACTGGAGTGATATAACCCTGTTTCCATTCTTCGGGGATCTCTCCACCATTTAACAGAAGTGTCATACTTTCTGCCAGTGCCATTTTGAGTTCGGTCGGGCCTGCTTTAATTAATTCAATTGGAATAGAACCAGGGCCGGGAGATTTTCTATTTTTCATTCCTTTGAGAACTGAGTCCAGTTCTATGATTGTGACTGGCGGTATATCTTCCTTATTTGATATGATTTCATCGGATTGGTTCCATGCGAATTCGGGTCGTTCCTCATAATTCTTCAAAGTAATTCACCCATTGCAGCTCTTTGATCAATGGGAAGTTATCTCCACATCTTTTGGGATTTTTCAATTTTTTCAAGTTTCCGCGCCTTAAGTCGTTGCCGATTAGATCCGTCCGGTTTTCTTTCTGTTTTGGGTTTGAAAGCGAAATATTTTTTTTCCGATGAAGGGGTGCTGGCCCTACGATCAACCTTTTTTAAACTGCAAGGACAGTGATTTGATTTTGGGGTTTAATTTACTAAGAAAATAAAAAAAGAATTGTTGAAATCGGATGATTTGGTACAAAGATATGTTCTAAATTTTTTCCACACATTTTGCTGCAACCAAAATCTTGTTTTGGTTTTTGGAGTCTTATATCAACTGAAGCAATAGATTGTTGTCTAGATTTCTTAGCAAATTACTAATGATAAAGAAAAATCTTTCATCCACTAAATGACAAAGAAAGTAGTGTTAAAATTGCTATCTAACTATTTGAAAATAATAAACTATTCAACTACTAACAATAAACTATTCAACAATTGATGACGACATTTCAACCCAAGCATGTGGGTCATCATCAGAGCTGAAAAATTGTTTCATAAAATGGTACTTGTTTAATAGCGGGTAGCATCCGACTGCTATCTGCCAATGTTTATAACCTTAACACTGATAACTCTGATAATAAGCATATGTACATGTAAAAGAAACACGATGAAGACTATAAAGAACATATGTACATATAAAAGAAACGATATAAACAATTTATTTAAATAATACTAACTCACAGCTTACCCATGGAACAAAAAATAAACAATGGAATAACTTATGTTAGAGGAGATAAGGGAGGTTATGTGAAATTAGATAACAAGGGAGGTTTTGACGCTATCCGCTATTAAACAAGTACCCATAAAATCAGACAGATTTGAATAAAAGCTAAAATTTTATAACCCAATAACAACATTGTAATAACCTAACTCCCACTCTATATGATCAGTGCCTTCCAAATTTCACAGACATTATATTGTTAACAATTATTTATATTAATTTTAATTATTAAATGGAATTCAATGAAATTGATACTAATTAATTTCTATACTGTTCCCCAAAATTCCTCCAAGTTTGGGTCAAATCGAATGTGCCGTTTTCAAATTATAGACATACTAAATACCACATTTCCTGATTTAAAAGGGGAAGTATTTTTTTTTTTTTTTAGTATTAGATAGAATTTGATAAAATTGATGCCTATTTCATTTTACGTTTACCAATCCCTAAATTCCCTCCAAATTTGAGCCAAATCGAACTTGGGATTTTAGAGATATAGACGTATCAAGGAAAACATGTTTGCGCATATATAAGAGAAAGCAAAATAAAATTTACCCTACATTACTATTTCACAAATTTTGTGAAACTTTTATTCAATTTTGAGCCAAATCGAACAAGCCCTTTCTGAAATATTGGCATACCTACAAAAATGTGTTTGTACCTGCGTAAGCGAAAGAGCTGGTTAGAATTTAATAAAATTGATATGGGACCATCTAGACACCAACCTGCACAATTCCTGAAAATTGTATGAAAACCAGATAAACGGTAATAGGTGATATACCCATTACATCGATTTGACTACAGACAGACACCGAACCAAATTTGATCCTTGACGTCTGAAACGTAAAACAAGAGTGAAAATTTTTGATTCTGAGTTTTTATAAGCTCTTGCACAAATACAATGCTTCCCTACCTTCAGTAGTGAGGAAGCAAAACAAAATAATAATTGCACACTTTTTAACATTTAAAAAATAAATAAAATGCCACGATTTTTCAAATATGAAATACTCTCAGTTTAAAATTTAATGAGGTATATAAAACCAAATGTACTAAAAAATGAAATAATCCACATTTTTATGATGTTATAAATCAAATTAAATTTGTTAAAAAAAAGGATACTTACAAGTAGTCTCATTTTCATCAGCGCTTTCTTCTTTTATAAAAACGCACACATTATTTATACCTAAAAAAATAAAACAGACATTAATAATATATGGTTTACAACTAATATTAGAAAATGTGCATTTTTTATTTTTATACAAATGTCAATTTTTTCAAAGATAAAATTTATCTGTTTAAATTTAATGATATAGGAACAAGTCAATAATTTTTGTGATTTGAAGAGCTGTGAAAGGTACTAGCTACCAGCACCAGTACTATAGTACCAGTATTATAATTGTATTAGGCTAAGGCCAGGTGAGTCCACTTGAACAATTCTCGGGTAGTAGGTTACACTAAGTTCCTCCATTGTTTTTCCTCCGTCAACTGTCTCTCGTGAGAACAGGTTGGTCTTCCAAATTTATGTTTTATTTTGTATTCTCCTTGTTTACCTTTCTCCCTTTATTCTCTTTTTCATATCAATAACACTATTTCGTTTATATTGTTACATTTACTTATTGTATCTCAATTTACATAATTTTAACACTATAATTCTCTTCTATGTTCACAGTATGTTTTGATAGTTTTCACTACAACTTAATTGTTTTATTTACTTCTATTTTTTTTTTTTATATAACTTCGTACTCCTTTTCACTGTTTTTCATTTTTTTTATTCTATGTTTATCTCACTTCCTCTTGACATATTAAGACATCAATTTATAGCAACTAAGTCACCCTATTTGTTTTATGTTTAACATTTACAATTTTTATCTCTTAATATTCCATTACATCTCTGTTATTTAATTTTTCATTTCTTTGTTTATTTCATTATGTTGTTACCGTCATTTTATTATTGTTTATTTCATAGTTCCTAACTCTGTTACAGTTATTATTGTTATTCATTTCATAGTTCCTTACTCTGTTACAGTTATTATTGTTATTCATTTCATAAGTTCCTAACTCTGTTACCATTTTTTTATAAATCAACCGTTAATAAAATTTAATTTTATATATCAGACTCAAAAAACAGGTGATTGATTGAAGGTTACAAATGTAATTTATTTCTCTCTCAAAATTCTACAGAATTATCACAAGTTTAAGTGAATTAGCTGCATGTTAATTTCCTTAATCCTCTTCCCTATTTGTGAGTTAAATAAGTCTGAAATCAAAGGAAGTAAAACTACTGGTATAGCGGATTGTTCCGCTAAAAATGACGGAACCATCGGCTTCAAACGGTTCACCAATTGATGTTAACAACGATAATGCACAAGAAGCTATGTCCTGGGAAGTTGTGTCTGGACGAAAATGACATGTAGCTTCTGACAGAGATCCACGTTGTACACAAATAAAGGTTAGTGATATTATTGCTACCAACAATAGATTTGAAGCTTTATCAATTAGTCCGGAAGATAGAAAGCCAGCAAATAATAATCCCATTATTATTAGTCCTCCACCTATTCACATAAACGACGTGAAAGACTACACGGCTTTAGTAGCCTATCTTCACAATGAAGGTGGCTCTAACAGTTTCAGGTTTAACAGTTTCAGGTTTAAAACGTCTATAAGAGGAGTCAGCGTGTATCCTGAAAATGTGTATACCGTGTATAGCATGTATACCGTAGGTTAGTGACCAGTCTTAGAAGAGGTGGAGCTGATTTTCACACGTATCAACTCCTCGAAGATAAAAACTCTCGAATCATTATTAAAAATTTACACCATGCCACACCTCCAGCCACCATAAAACATGAACTTGCCAACTATGGTTACGAGGCAACCAGTGTCATAAATGGTATTTCAAGATTTAAAACACTGTTGCCAATGTTTTTCGTAGACGTGTCTAAAGCAACTTTCAATGAAAAAATTTTCAACATTGAATTCTTGTATTACACACACGTGAAGATCTAAGAGCCAAGGAAAAAAAAGGATCATTCCGCAGTGTGTACGTTGTCAGCAGTATGGGCATACCAAGACGTACTGCAATCACCAGCCGAGGTGTCAGGTGTGGTATGGGTCACAAAAGCACTTCCTGCACAAAAACTCAAGAAACAGTAGCAAAATGTGCCAACTATCAAGGACCACATCCTGCTAACTACAGCGGTTGCAAAACTTTGAAAGAGCTTAGGAAGACCCGCACAAGAAACCATACTCTGCAGAGGCCTGCTAGAGTTCAAACCCCACCACCAGAACTACACAAGTTCCCGCCACTGCATCAGCCTCAGCACCCTCATCCTATTCACTCAGAACCAGAACTGCAGTAGCAGAGACAGCAATGAAAACTGGCACCGGCAACAAACCAACAACAGAGACCTAAAGGTATGAGTAGGGGCATTGCCCAAACGCTCCCTACTATTGAAACCGTCTCAGGTGATATGATACTTTTAATTAGCGGTCTCAATAACCTCATACAACCCCTCTTCAGTCTTCTACAACAGCTATCTCAGGCTACTCTCGTCCTTACCCAAAAATATGCCACGTAATCAGACGACTGTGGGCTCTATGTTTATTATACTATGGAACGCAAACGGACTGAAACAACATAGAACCAAACTAGACATATACTTACACGAGAAACTCATTGAGATTGCACTAATAACAGAAACACATCTGACACCACATTCTAAATTTTACATCCGTGATTACAAAATCTACAGAACTGACCACCCAGACGGAACTTCACATGGAGGCACTGCAATACTTATCAAAACAGCTCTAAAACATAATCCATTACAATTACCCATAACACCAGAGATTCAAGCTACAGCCATTACACTATCAACACCATCCCACTACAGTGGAAATACTCACATATAACAATGATTCATAAGCCTAACAAGGACAAAAATTCACCTTCCTCATACCGACCAATCAGCTTACTACCTATCTGTTCCAAAATTTTTGAAAGCCTACTGAACAAAACACTTGTTGGTATACTGACTAACACCCAAATAATATCTGATCATCAATTTGGATTTAGGGCACATCACTCAACTATACACCAACTATTTAGAGTAACGGACTACATATCTACAGCACTAGAGCAGAAAGTATATTCAACTGGCGTATTTCTGGATGTTGCTCAAGCATTTCACAGAGTTTGGCACCAGGGTCTTCTTTTTAAACTCAAGACAATACTTCCACCTACATATTATATAATTCTACAATCCTTCCGACAGACGGACAGACAGACAGACACCAAACCAAATTTGATCCTTGATGTCTGAAATGTAAAACGAGATTGGAAATTTTCGATTCTGAGCACAAAATATTTTTAACCTCTCGCACGAATACAATGCTTCTCTACCTTCGCTAGTGAGGAAGCAAAAAAATAATCTTAAAAATAAATACAAATTTAAAGCTGATAAAATTTGCAATCTGATCCTCAACAATGGATAAATTACCTCATGTTTTTGCTGTTTTTGAACAGCAATAATACACACTTGCTTAGGAATGCCAATAATATAAAACAATATTATATTAATGTTATTTAAAAAAATAGAAAAATTTAAGATAAAATTGCTAAATTGATCTAAAACAAAGTAATAAAACAGTTAATATGTTCTTGAGATCATCATGGCAAAAAATCATAGACCAATGGCTAAAGATGGGTTTTTATTACTCTAAAATATAAAAATTTGTTGGAAATTAGATAGATACTAAAATAGATGGGTTAATATGATCCAATTACAATACTTTTCATACTTACAATCATAATCGTCTTCACAAGTGATTTCTTCCTTTGTAGAAACACTTAGGTTATTTGTGACTGAAAATATTTAAAAAATATAAAGTTTATGGCAAAACAATAAAACATTTTTTAATAATTAGAATATAATAAAATGTCACAATTTTTTAAAGATAGAAAAATTCTATAAGGTATATACAATAAAAAATCTTATATAAAAAATGATTCTCATTTTTGTAAACTTATTAATCAAATGGACTTAATAAAAAAGGGTACTTACAATCAGATTCATTTTCATCAGTTATTTCTTCTTTTATGAAAATACTAACGTTTTTCATGCCTAAAGAAAAACATCATTGTTATATAAACGCACATTTTTCAATATTTAAAATTTAATTTAATAATATAATTTATTGTAATTATATTAATACCTAAATGGCCAAATCATTAATTTTTATGATTTCAATATTTTTTTTTTGGGTCTTAAGACTTGTCAAAGCAAGTCATATTTTGCCAATTTCAATAGTTTTGCAAGGACATAACATACCAGTATGAGTATATTTATAGAACAAATCCAAATAAAGAAAAATTCAAACAAAATTAGTCTTAAAAAAAAAATTAACATTTTTGCAAATATAATCATAATTAACTAAATTTTAAAAAAGAAATGTTTACAAGTAGACTCTTTTTAATAGAAAAAGAAAATTCACTCAATTTTCATTTTTTTTTATTCCCTCTGGATTCATGAAACTCATATGTAACAAAGCTCATGCTATTTTCTCTAATATAGTCTCAAATAAGTCTCAATAAGTCTCATAAGTCTCAAATAACATGCTATTTTCATTTGACATAATGTATTTCCTTTGTTACTAATAAAAAAAGTAATATTTTTATTTAAATAATGAATATTTTTCTCATACAAAGATACAACTCATTTAAAAAAAAAAAATCAAAATTAAAGTTGCTTACTATTCACTGATATTAATATATATAGAAACAAAAAGAAAAGAAAGGTATGGTTATAAAAGAGATAAAAGAAGAACAAAGGCCAGATTTAAATTTAAAAAGAGCAATGGTGTTAAAGATGAGTTCCCTAAGGATTTGTCAAATACAGCTGTTTTATCAGAAGGAGCATAAAGATCAAAAAGGCAGGAACATGGATTATAGGAGCAAATTTAAATTTAAGGAGTGGGAAAATAAAAAATAATGCAATTGGATTATAAGGTAAATGAAAGAAGCAAAAATTCATTAGCAATGGTCGATGGAAAAAAGTCACTTCAACTTAAATGTTAACACAGATAAACTATTTTTTTTAAAAAAGATTACTAACCAGTAGATTCACTTTTATCAGCCATTTATATTTCGTATAAACAACAAGATTATTTGTACCTGAAAAAATAAAAGAGATATTAAAATTATACAGTTGATAACAAAACAAGAATAATTTCAAACATAATTAAACACTCCAATTTTTCAAGAACCATCAGCTAAAATTTAAATTTAGTAAAATTTCCAAAAACAGAAATACATTGTAGGCAATAAAAACCTCATAACGCCATTTAAGAATCATTATCCTATTGAAATACAATCTGGCTTCTTTTTTTTTTTTTTTTTTTTTTTTTAATCTTGTTAGAACAAATCAATATTCAATAAGTTTCTTAGGCACAACTAATGAGAGGAGGTTGGCCAGGGTCTGATTTAGTCAACAGTGTTTACCTTTTTTTTTTTTTTTTAAACAAGACATTAAATATCTTAAATAATAATTTCACAATATCTTTATATAATATTTTTATTGCATAAATGATGTAGTAAAAGATTGATACTTTGGATTTTAAAACAAGCAACATAGATTTTGGAATGTTTTTCATTTCATGCATCAAAAGTAGGCAAATATGTATTCGTTGACATAAAATTACCACTAAATAATTAAGAAAGTACAAAGAAATAACAAAAATAATATCACACATATTACTTAGAACTTTTTTTTAAGTGAAAGCTTCTTTAGACGCGTTTTGCACTTTTTTGTGTGAAGAGTGAATTAGATTGATCCGTCATATTTCATTCGGCATTAACCCTCGGGTGAAGTCAGCTAATTAAAATAATTTTACATATGGATTAAAATATTTTCTCAGAAATTATAAATCGGGCCTGCATATTGTAAGCAAGGAAAATATTCAGCATCCTCTCTGTAATATGATATAATTCAAAATTGTATCTTAACGCAACGCCGTGTTAGAGAGGCAAAAAGGAAAAAATAATGTTGAAAACCAAATGATAAGATTAATTGAGCATATGGATTAAAATATTTCAGATACTAAAAATCGGATCTGTATACTGTAAGCAAGGGAAATGTTCCTCTTCTTTATAATGAGCTATTTTTAAAGCTAATTTATATTTCATATTAATAATCTTGCCTTGTCGATGTTTTCACTTACATCATGTGGTCTAAATCACACGTTATTTAGTATACATATATTCGTTATATGTAGTATATATATTCCTTATTTTTTTGGCTTTAAAACATTTATTTGCGACTGTCATCTTCATGTCGTCAATCAGCAAATGTGTTGAAAATACAAGAAATAATGACATGTCAGGCATAGGGAAGGACAGTACTCAGCAGCACCTCTTCTCTGACTTGCTTCAATTACTTAGGTTATTTAAGATAGTAGATTGCTAATCCAATGAATTTTCAGTCTCCTGCTCATATTCAGGGGTATGTCAGCTGTTGCCATGGTCTCTTATTATTCTGTTATTATGTCCTTTTAAATTTTTAAAAATCGTTATATGATGGTCGGTTATTGGAAGTTGGACGTCAACAGGAAGAGTTGTTTTAAGTTACATACCAAGGTACTTTTGTAACGAGTCACAATAATTTTGATTGGAAGGTTTGAGGTTTTTGTATGTGTATCTTTTTAGTGATACCGTATATCTCAGATAAGTATGTCCATATTGGTTTAAGTGAGTATTTAGTTTTTATCTCAGTTCCAGTTTTGAAGATTTAGAAATTATAATTCTGATAAATCAAATCTGTACGTTATCTATCAGCCAGTTATGTGGCTGAAATAAAAGTTAAACAGTGTTGTCTTCAACTTTAATACGCATAAAATAGTAGATTAACAGAAAGTTAGATGGAACCATAATAATAAATACGGAATGTTAAGAATTTTTTTTGTCATAGAATTAACATAACAAAGACCAAAATTAAAGTAAACAGTAATGAAAGATTACAGAGTCCAAAATAATGATTTATGTCATACTCTGTAGCTTTTCTTTACAACCAGGTCTTCCAAAAAATTATTTTTGAAAGAGAAATGGTTCTCCTAAATTCTAATTTAAATCCTGGAACAAAAATTTCTCTTGCAAAGTTCCTTTCTATACTTTTCCAGCAAGTACAGAATACATTTTTATTAGATGCTCTCTTTCTCAACCTGCATCTTGAGTTCTTGATTCTCGTTTGTTTAAAATAGCATTGTGGGCTCTGCTATCAGTCTCCTTTCCTGTCACACTAAATGCTAAAATACATTTACACATACGGTTGTTGGGATTGCTTGGTTTGAACTTCAGTGGGAATGTGAAGGTCATACAGTGAAGACGGAACAGCTTATCTCAAATTTCCGATAATTATAAATTGATATCTCTTAAAATGTATACTCTTAATCTGAGGGGTATATATATTTTCCTTTGTTATCATTATAATACTGATGGGAGTGAGTTATCTCAGTGGTAGGGTACTGAGCTTCCAATGCTAAAGGTCTCAGGTTCGAGTCCCAGCTCATGGCAGAAAAATTATTTATTGTTTCATTGGCTGTGGGACACCCGTTGGTCGGGAGACCCTCCAGGGGCACACCCAGCCTCTGTAAAGTGGATACCTTTAATTAAATAATTAATTAAGGGGGAAAACCTGGTGAATGAGCATGATCTTGGTCAAATCACCTTCTTGCACAACCGTTGACCAAGAAACAGTGCTTTTCTTAAATAGAACAGAACCCAAGACTTATGGGTTGTAGTGGTACAGGGTTCTTTTTTTTTTTTTTTTATAATTATAATACTATATAAGTTATAAGTGAAGTTTCTACTCTTCACTTTTTATGCCATTTCTTTTATTTCTTGTAGATCCAGGTAGCGAAAAACTTTCCACTTTTCACATTTAAACATACCAAGTTATTTTTTAAATTCATTAAATAAAATATATAAAAATTTTATAATTTAAGAAGTATTGTTTGGTTTTTTCACTAAAAATAAAACTAACGTTAAAAGTAGGAACACAATTCCTACTGTAGACTTTTTATTATAAAATATCCCAATTTCCTTAGCATACTTCTAAGTATAAGATTCATAACAATAAACGTTACTTTTTTAGTTACCAATGTTGGTTGTGAGATGTATAAATATTATTATTTTTTAAATTGTTAAGCAATAACTATTTACTTTGTGATGGAAATAAAATTGTTTAATGCAATCTTCCTTCATAATTTACAATCATTAACAATTGTTGAAAAATAATGAAACAGGGATTGAGTCAAGAGAATAATAATTGAACACAAAATAATTATTTTTAAAAAAATAGTGAAATTTTGTCAGTTTTTCTACATACGGGTATAAAATATCACCCATGGTCATTTGACAAAAAACTATACTTTGTTGGCGAGAGGATTTAACACAAATTCATAACCCTCCCATGCAGGTGACAATAATCCAAAATTACTCAAACATTCCTTTACCTCACAATTAACACTAATACAATAGGTAATAAATAGACAGAATAATAAAATTGAAGTCATAGATAAAAATATATTAAGAAAAAAATTAAAACTACAATAAATACAAGAAATAGACAAAATGTTTATCAATAAACAAAAGACAATGAAGAAGTCTGCTGTGACTATATTACTACTGCTATGATAATGTATAAATAAAGGTATACATTAACAAAACCGGACAGCTATAACTGTATTAAATGAAATAGCCTTATTACAATCTTTTTCTGAAGTGCCTCTAAAGCAAATAAAAAAGTAGATATGCTGAAATGTAATATAACTAAATATATATATCCAGACAAAACAAGCATTAATTCAAATTCAAGCAAACTGAAGTATTTAGTCTGGTTGACAGGTGGGTCAAGATCACATGTTGACAACTATATAGACAGGTGGGTTCACTAGCCTAACTCAAGGGATAAACAAATACAACAGGTTCTTTTCAACAGAGGTTGGGGCCTTACCGAATAGTAATCCTTGAAAAGGAAACTGGTCCTTTTCAATTCATCAAATATTTCACAATTAAATTTTAAGGAATACCAATAAATATACTTTCCAATCATGTAATCTCCATCATGCAACCATGTATTTACCAGCATATACTTTCAAACACACTTAATGAAAAAACTTGATATGAAGTAAAAGAATTTAACTCTAGCAACCAAAAAAAAAAAAAATATGGGAACTACATATTAATTCGAACTAACAGTCACCGAAATAAAGTGTTAACTCTTGACTTATTACACTGGTAACAATATATCAGTTTTATGAAAACATCACATAAAACAGCAGAGGAAAACACCTACAGAATCTTTAAACAAAAAAATATTCATGGAACCTACCTCAACCAAGCAGACCTATTCCAGTAATCAAATTTATGAACTGTAACAGGCCAAACTATAAGATGCATTCAAACAAAAAAAAAAAACAATTGTAACTTGAAGAAGACTATAGTACTTCTACAGTCACAAGGTCAAGAAACCTACTAGATAAGTCGATATATCACAAATAGTAAATTTAATTTATTTCGATATCTTGAGCCCTGATATATCGATATTAATAAATAACGCGATATAAAATCTTATATATTAATTGTAATTTATTTTTGTCATTATCATATTTTTATAAAATGTTAGATATTTATATTTCAGTTAAGATGTTTCAACTCCAATCTTGAACGAACTATTTAGCAAGAGGTATCTTAGGAAACAAACTTTGAAAACGAAGATGGTCCGGGGTGGCGGTCATAAATAGGCTAAATAGTGACAAAACTATTTTATTAAAAGCCAACGTTAAGACCTGACTTTTTGTATCTTGTCCGTTCTAGCCCTAAAGAAGACCTGCAAAGTCGGGTCGAAACGTTGGCTTTTAATAAAATAGTTTTGCCACTATTTAGTCTATTTATGACCGCCACCCCGGACCATCTCCTTCCTTTATAATGCAACGGTCAACTATTAAATATTCAATAAAACTTTGAAAACGCTTGTATCGGATAGCTCAGTGACCAGTGTAGGTCAATATCGCAAAAATATTGTTTATAAATGATCGCGATAGTATGTCTGATCTCCATTCAGTATCTCGGGTCACTTAGATCACCATTACCGGTGTCTGTCAGCAGGAAGAAATATAATTCTGAGGCAAAGAAACACCAGAAACAAGGAAGTACGTACGATGTGCCTCTGAGTCATGATACAGCAGAAACACACTATAGCTTTAGCTGCCCTATCGGCGAGCTATGACTATGAGTGGGAAATGAAGTTTTAATAGTTTAACTATAAACATTGCGAAGTTGATAAGTTCCTCTGCCTCAAACAATAAGTGAGAGGACGTTGACGTAACTTTATTATACAAGTAGTAAGTAGACGTGGATGGACTTTGGAAGCTAAAAAAAAACACTTCATTCTGGAATTCCAATTCTTACAGAGGAAAGAATATTTTTTCTAAGTGAGAAGAATCTAAATGTCCATGTAGCATCGAGCGAATTAAAACAGGGAACAGAAGAACACAGGAGGCTAATAATATTCTCGTTTCCGACACATTCGCTGCGCTTGTTGTTTCCTCCTTAACACTAGCTCCACTAAGACAATATCAAGTAATAACTTGACATTCAATTTTACTTGTGGAAACATATAACACATTGCTTTTCGCGTCAACTGTGGACACTTCGGTGATACACTCATAGAGATTATTAAAGTATGTATTTTGAAGGTGTTGCTTTATTTCCAATGCTTTGGAAGAAGACATCGAAAAAATTAAGGTCCGCTGGATCTGGAACAAGTTCCATGAATCACATATGAAGGATTAGATAAGCCTGCAAGAAATAGCAAACTCTAAAGCTCCGGATATAGGTCCAAATTTTTTATTGAAAATTTTATAGAAAACACATTTCTTAGATTCACATTTTTTCTGCAAATAGGATTCCAGCATTTTAAATGATAATTCTTCATTCTTTAGCTTGTGAATTTTCCCATCCTACCTGTACACTAGCGGATCCAGGATTTAATTTTGGGGGGAGGCTTCAGCCCGAAAGCTTTTTTTTCATAAAAGTAACGATAATTACTTTGGAAAATACGAAAGAAACTAAGTACCTATACGAACTGGTGTTTAAGTGATTCCTAAAGCCCTTTTAAATGTAATTACACGAATAATTATACTTTAAGAGATAATTTTTTAGTATTTTTTCCGATAAAAAATGGTTATATTTTACCATTTTGGGGGGGCTTCAGCCCGAAAGCCCTCCCCCCCGTAGATCCGCCCGTGTACCTGTAAAGGTTCTTTTTAAAAAGAAAGGAAAATTGAATCGGCCAATTTAAGTAAAATACATAGAAAAACAAATGTATAAGGAGAATAAATTAGAATATTGGTGATTATTGTGAAACAGAACTCTAAAAATAAAAAATCCGAAACTGTGAAGAACCCAAAGTTGCCTCATTGGGTTATACTTCAGAGATTCTAGTTATTACTACTGCGTTTTATTCAAATTTAAAAGAGTATTACTCCAGGTTACGCTTTCTATTCAACAAAAGAAAAATTTAATGATAGTTTAAATAACAGCTATGCTTTTTTAAGTGTTATCTAAATTGAAAATAAAAGATAATTTGTTTTGAAAAACTACTTCTTTGGCTAAAAAACATAACCTATTAAAATTGAACAGATGTAGTGTTCAATCAACAAGTTGTAATGTAGTGTTTGTTGTGGAAAGCCATGGATGAAATTGGTAAGTAACACATTTTATTCTCTGATTTGATTACTTTTTTTATAATAGAAAAGTAAAAGATGTAATACCTAAATATCAGTTAACGCTTTATTTGCTATAGTATATGTTTTTTTTTTACTTTATATTTGATATAGGTACATTTATAAACTCTTTGCTGGTTTAAGGACAGTTTTTGACATTTAGTTCAGTTGAATTTTATGTCCTTCTATATTTGAGAGTGATAAATAGTCCTATAATTGACAGCAAGTACAATTTTATTAGGACATGTGGTTTCCTGGTCAATTTTAGTCTCATTCATGTTCATAAATACATTCCCAGAAAAGTTATTTAAAACATTGCATCTTTGTCTTAAGCATGCCATTGAAATTGATGGGACAATCAAGTTCATTAAATGGGAAATACTTGGTTTATTATGTCTTTGAATAATTGTTGTTATTGCTCTTACAGGCTTTTGCAGTGTGCCTCTTGATATATTTTAGTGTACAATGTCCTTGTGCTTATTGTTAAAATTTTATTCTTATTTTTTTAAATTCTACAATTCTATTCTTAATTTACTTAGTTTTACATAGGGGTTGAATTTTGCTTGGAAGGTTCTTGAAATATACATAGGTTTCACATTTGATAATTATAAATTACAACTGTGTCCTAGTAAATATAAAATGTTTTTTAGTGTACAAGACCTTATTTTCCTTTCAATTGTTTCACTACTCACTATGGATCTTCAGGATTTCTAATTAATATAAACACAACTTTTGTTGTTAAACGTTAATCATTAGTTTTGTGTTGGGTTTGGAAGAAGGTATGCAAAATGATGACTTTAAATTCTCATTATTGTCATTATATTATATTATATTCATTTTAACTATCATAAATAATACTGTTAGTCATGTTTCCATCTGTTTTTCAGGTATGATTAACTTAAATATTCCTATAAAGGAAGAAATAAAATATGAAAATGACGTTACTTGTAAGTGTTTGAAATTTTTTTATTAATGTTTTATTGTTAAATTTATCATTTGTATAATGAGAAATTTTCATTACACATCCACAGATGGGCTTATTGATGTGAAACAAGAAGAAGAAATGCTTATTCCATATGATGGTGAGAAAACTTAATTTTATTAACCTGATGCAAAATCAATTCGTTTGGCTTTTTACTGCCTTTATCTTGATCTATTTTTCATTCAAGTATTTCTGTTTACTCTGTTGTAGAATTTCCATTCTATGCTCATCAATTATCTATTAATTTGTTTTTATCTTTTCCTATTTTTGTTTCTGTTTATTATTACTTGAAAGGAAATAATCCATTTCTTTATTTATTACTATGTTAAAATAGATAAATAAGCAGTGGTGAAATCAAACATAATTTTTTTTTGTCACCTTTCGGAGTCTTATCAGATCAAAAAACTATTTTTAGCATATTTTTTAATTTGATACTTCAACTACTTATTTACTCCTATTTGTTCATTAATCCATCACAAAATTTTTAATAGATAAATTTAGTCATTTAAATGTTCCATTTCTATTTTTCTGCATTACAAAAACTCTATGATATGTGCATATTTCTAAGTGCACCGTCTTAGGACATAATCCACGTCATAAGCAAAATAATACACTTTAATTTTTATTCAATACCTATTTAATATTATAGTTAATACCTATCCACTAGGCGCTACAACCCTGGGTGTGTTTTGGCTTCCTTGATGAGCCGCTGCCATTTGGTCCGATTTTGTGCTACAGTTCTCCAGCTTCTGATCCGAAGCAGGCTCTGTGCATCCGCCCCCACTCCGTCAACCCATCGAGACTTGGCCTACCAGTCCATCGTGTACTTTGAAGGGTGTTGTCCATTACTTCTCTAGGAATTTTTTATGCTTCCATTCTTGCGACATGACCAAGTGAACCTCTCTACTTTTATAAACTTTACAACGTTCATATCTCCGTAAAGGTCATAAAGCTCCCTATTCTTCCTAATCCTCTATTCCTCTCCATCTCTCGCTGGGCCAACTAGATTTTTCTTATGAGAAGGTCCAGGTTTCGGAACCATAGGTAAGAACAGGGTGTTTAATAATCTTGTATATAACCATTTTATTGCACCTGGTAATGGATCTGCTGCGGAGACTTAAGGCAAAATATGCCCTATTTGCCACCTCTAGATTTTTCTTTATCTCAGCAGGGACTGCTGCACCCCTCTCCCTAGTGTGCTGGCCATCATTGGGAGATTCCACTACTGACCAAAGAAGGAGTCTCTGGCTAGTTCCAACCATCGGCAAACTATAATGGTTAATAGCTTTGTTAAAAATTTTGCTGGCGTGTATAAGGACTATTCTTATATTAAAATACATCCCTTAAATAGATTTGTTTTAAATATAAGATAAGTGTGGATTTATAAATAAATCTAAAATAACATTTATACAAACAAAAATCTGAAATTTGGTTTTAACAACTAACAATACTTCAGAATTAATTTAATGAATGTTTTTAAGGCATGTTATACATTAAAAACATATTGTCAGCTTTTATTTATTCAGGAATAAAATATGAATTGAAAGTTATAAGTATTAGGGGAACCGGAAAGTAATGTCGTTTCTGAGCATGTCACTGTTTGATTGTCATTTGGCAGCTCATTGTGTACATCTATGTCGTAACAAAGACATTCTAAGGTTACAGTGACTTCTTATGTTGCAAATAATTAAATTAAAAACTTTTTTTGACAATTTTTGGTGAAATGGCTAGTCAAATAACAGAAGAGGTACATATCCGGCATTGCATGTTTACTGTTACTAAACATCAACAACTCAGTAACCCATTAATGTTTTTTGATTCTCTAACACTGAAAAAAGTAAATACT